GGTGGCCGAGGGGAAGACGTGTAGTGGCGTGAAGCTAGGCGATTAGGTGCCGTACGCGAGCGCCGGTTCGAGTCACGCACGCAGTACGTATTTACTATAATTAGACATAGTCTTTACCTTGCCGTTTATTCGGTGTTATTTGCTTACTTTACTTCCTATGTCGACAGCAACTATGAGTTTAAAAATTATTTCTGTGAGTGTATGTGTATGTTCTACTGATATATTAAAAGCCAATGAAACTTGGTACATGTATTATGTGTGGTTAGCATATGTTATGAGCTAAAATTTATGCATAATTACCAAGTATTAGCATATCTATACATTTGAAGAACTACCTAATGTATTTAATAAAATTTGGTACTTCAGGAACTCACTAGAGTGCATGAGCATGATTATCAACAAATAGTTAGAGATTTGTCTCTATTTTTTCTTTTATCAACAGTGAAAACATTTCAGTGGCAGGAAGTCCATTTATTACCAGTGGTGAAGATGCACAGTCAGCGGTTGATCAGGTAACGCATTCTACTGCAAAGTTCTAAATTGCTCATCTGTTTTATTTTTGGAATGGCTACCGTACTCTTTCCCTCAAACTGTAAGACACTATTAAATATTTTTGAATTTTGTTTGTTTCTTGTGATAGAGTGCTCCACCAGCTGAAGCTGAGCCAATAAGTTCAGAAGGTATGTAACTGTATTCTTTGGAGCAGGTTTACAATTACCGTAAAACCTCACTATAGTGGGTATAACCTCGTAAATGTCATGAGGCAGAAAGTATACTATTATAAATTTATGTCTTGAGAAACCGGATAAAACGAGAAATTCTATCCATACTGCAATTATAAAAAACAAACAAACAAAAAACAGTGCAGTTTTACAATTCATATATGTAACCTAATAGAGAATGCTTGATTCTAAGTGTTGGCAAAAAGAGGAGTGTCTATTTGTGAAAATAAACATATGGCCAGCACAATCAGTCACATGTCAATGGGGATATACTGTGGAATACTTTATTTTCGCTGGAATTAATTTTTGCTGAAAAGGCTTTTTGGGCGTTTTGTATGGAATTTATTTTCACTGATTTTTGATGAGTTTAATGTGAAATATAGAAAAAAAAGTATATTTGCTGGATTTTATTTTCACAGAATCATCCCTTTAGCGAAAATAGCGAAAATAAATTCCAAGCGAAAATAAAGTATTCTACAGTAGTTGATGTTGTACTAGCATGTGGTGTGCACCACTATTACCTTATCCTTAATCTTTACTTTCCTGTATTGTCGCTTACAACTTCCTATATATTGGTTTTCTATTACCTGTTTCCGATTCTCCACTTCCTGCATCTTCAATCATTACTTCCTGTATCAATCTTTCTCTTGTATCTATAAAAATATTCGTTTTACCCTTATTTGTTTTTTTCCAGTTGACAAGTGGCACTACGTAAAGCTCTAAGAAGTCGTCCTCGCCACCGTACACATATCAAAATCAACAAGAAGTCATTATTGTAAACTTAACACGTGTAGGGGCGACCTCTAGTGGTGGACAATATTGCAAACTGGGTATAAATTATGTATTTGGGGATTAATGGTCTGCTTAAGTGAATCACCTTTTGTAATTTCTCATCCACACTTACCCATCACCGAATATTAGTTAATTTTAGACTAAATACAAGAATAAAAATATCAGTTTCTCTGAAAAACTGATGCAGTGATTTTTTTAAATGAAACATTACAAATGTCTGTCAAGTCCATCTGCAAAGTTTATGTGTGAACAAAATATTGCGGCACTAACAGGAGACATATTCCTAACCATATTTTCTTTGTTTCAAATGACACAAAAACACTTTTCAGCTCTTCCTTTAAAACTAACAGGCACGCCGACCAGAATCTGATCAAACTATGCTAGAGATAAGTACTCAGAAGCGAGGTAGCTGGAAGTTAAAATATTAGAATAATTGGTTTTCCATGCTTTGTTCTCATGGATAAAGTATTATTTCAAAGATGTATTTCATTTATTGGAAGGATAGACACTTTAATGTAAAGGCAAGTTTAAAAAAAAACAACGGCATTAACATCACAGTAAGTTGATACACTTAAAATCTCATCAAACGAATCACGGTTTCAATGTGGTTAAATGCGTTGTTTTGTTTGAGACTTGTAGAGTTAAACTCAAACTTTAGGATACAGGAGAAGATTTAGGTTTGTTTGTTTGCTTGGTCTCTACATTGTTTTTAGGTCACACTGACAAGTTGTAAATTATGAATACAAATTGAGTAATAAATATTTGAAAAAAACAACAACTTTTTTTCTAGCTTGTATGTAGTGATGAATGTGGATTGTCAGTTTGTTGAACTAACTTGAGTGGTTAAAGTGATAATACCACTGAAATCGATTTAGATTTCAATCACTCAAATCGGTTCTTTTCTTGCCCACAAAAGATGACCATAGTGTCACAATCTGTATATAATCATTACTGTGGACGCGTGAATGAAAGGAACATCTAATTACCAACGAATCGCCTGTGTTGATGTCTGGAGATCACTATTGTTTAAAACACTTTGGACCACCTCATTCTCAAAAGGAGGCAATGGTATTTACTGAGAGGGGCGCACTCTCAAGTCGTGAGTTTATGCTCAATTTTTGTATTTTTTCTTGTTTTGCACTATGTTAAATGTAATAAATTATAAAATGCAATTAAAACAACGATAAAAATTATTATGGAAAAGCAGTATACCGATCATGCCCCTCTCTAAAAGTACCTTGGTCTCCTTTTGAAAGTGGGATGGTCTGATAATGATCTTCAGACGCTAATTTGAATTGGCACAGGCGATTGGTTAGCAAGTTTTGCTGATGATGTTCCTTTCATTCACTCGTACACAGTAACAAGACCCCAAATGAAATTGGATTATTTGTAATGGAACAGAACTAGATATGTTTGGGATGAGTGTGCTGGGATATAAAAATAAGCCATACTTTCCTGACACCCGATTGATAGGAAGATATCAACTGACACTCATGAGCCTGAATTTGGAAATGTAACCTTTGATTCGCTGAATTGTCATGTAAAACTGATTGATTGGCCAAGGATTCTTTTGAAAGCAAAATATTAAAACTTGAGGGAGTTGTAATTGACCAAGACCAACTGAATCAGTTGTACCTATTGTAGATTATTACCGATCAAATACTCCAGCTCAGGTGCACTGATACGTACACTTGGGGAATTGCATTGCTGGATGATCAAAATGCATATCTACACAATACAGACTCGCCTAGAAAATCAGTGAAAAACGTTATTTAGGTTAGGTTACCAGGCGGTGTTCGCAATGTTACAAAGTACCAGTTCATACCAGACTCTAATGAGTTTTGGAGAAATGACATTTTACAGCGAATTGTTCAATTGGGTTACTGAGTGCACACTATTCAGGTGCTAGAATTACTAAAGTCACTGTTTTGCTGATGTATAACATGGATCCATTTTTATACTAAACAATGCCAGCATTGGCCAAGGATTAGATCCATAGATAATGTCTTTGTTCATGCTTTATACTAAACTGAGCCAGCATTGACCAAGGATTAGATTCATAGATAGTGTCTTTGTTCATGTTTTATACTAAACAGTACCAGCATTGACCAAGGATTAGATTCATAGATAGTGTCTGTGTTCATGTTTTATACTAAACAGTACCAGCATTGACCAAGGATTAGATTCATAGATAGTGTCTTTGTTCATGTTTTATACTAAACAGTACCAGCATTGACCAAGGATTAGATTCATAGATAGTGTCTTTGTTCCTGTTTTATACTAAACAGTACCAGCATTGACCAAGGATTAGATTAATAGATAGTGTCTTTGTTCCTGTTTTATACTAAACAGTACCAGCATTGGCCAAGGATTAGGTTCATAGATAGTGTCTGTGTTCATGTTTTATACTAAACAGTACCAGCATTGACCAAGGATTAGATTCATAGATAGTGTCTTTGTTCATGCTTTATACTAAACAATACCAGCATTGACCAAGGATTAGATTCATAGATAGTGTCTTTGTTCATGTTTTATACTAAACAGTACCAGCATTGACCAAGGATTAGATTCATAGATAGTGTCTTTGTTCATGTTTTATACTAAACAGTACCAGCATTGACCAAGGATTAGATTCATAGATAGTGTCTTTGTTCATGTTTTATACTAAACAGTACCAGCATTGACCAAGGATTAGATTCATAGATAGTGTCTTTGTTCCTGTTTTATACTAAACAGTACCAGCATTGACCAAGGATTAGATTCATAGATAGTGTCTTTGCTTTACGATTTAATTCAAATTTTTTCTCATCCAACATAACACAGGAATTTTTTGTTTGTTTACACTCAATCCTATCATGGGCAACGTCATTAAACCATACATATCACTGCGATAATGACTATTCATTTTCGACATTGAGAAATTCTGGAGGTCTTAACAATAGCAATAACATTCAGAGATAAATTAGGAAATATTCATAACGGAATCTTTATGAAATTAGATTAAACAAGAATATTACAGAAACAAAATTATTATCTTCTTTGTATTTGTCTTGAAATTGTAACTGAAAGAAGCTGAATGAAATTGTGCAACTGTGTAGTGTGTTCAGAAACTGGTACCAATAACTTTAATAAATATGATTTTTTTGAAATGATTTATTTTTCTGCATAGAAACGAAACAATTTTACAATGTCGAAAACGGAGTCATTATCTAGTTTTAAATGTCAAAGACTATGTTTGTAGAGTACTTAATATGATTACATCTATTAATTTAATGTGTCTGGAACTAAGATGAAATGAACGATGAAATGAAAATTCATAGTGTATGATGTTGATAATTACTGATCTGAAATGCATCCCCCCCGGCCATGTATTAGATTTCTTGTTTTCCAGTTGTCACTTTGTTCAGTACACTTATAATTGAGTATTTTTATTATGTAATTGTCATTTACGATAACTTGTACATTAAAGCAGATATTACAAATTCCATTACTTTTCAATCACCATGCCAAATTTTGGCATTGAAACATATCTTGGGGAATTTTAAAACATTGTGTTATTTAAATGCGTGGATGATATCAATGCTTTCCAGGCATGCTTACTAAGTTCGTCTGAGTGACTACTCTTTAAAAGAAAGTTTCTCTCCGTGTACTTAAGTGGGTGAGTGAACAAAACGTGTCTACCTTAAAGTTGCACCCTAAGATTTTTCTTAAAGCTTTATTGCGGGATCTTGGAACTGCTGAATGAATTGCGAGACATAATTAAGAATTTTCCGGTATCTTCGTTTCCCTCATTTAACGTGGGTCACTGTGATTCCAGGCGAATTCCTAAACATTGGGAGTCGATCCAAAAGTGTTGACAAAGGAAATCTGAACAAACAATATGAATGGGAAGCCGAAAAGGTCGAACGTTTTGTATATATCGTCCGCAGTTTGCGCAAATACTGATTATAAGGTACTTGACCTAATATTCATTGGAGCGATTCTTGTCAATAGCTAAACATCGTTGACTATTATAGTGTAGATTATATATAATTTAGTAACATTATCTCTACAAATAATTAAAACTGAACAGGCACAATTTACCGCCGTAATTTCGCCGAGAGCGACTGCGTAACAAAAGTATTCCGGTATTTCGTCCACAGTCCCAAATATTGAGATTGCATAAATCAGGATCAGGGGGACAGTGAACGTGAGTGAGTGGGGCGTGGGACACCGAACACACAGACACACATACGTACGTACACAAAGATCAATTTGAGGCAATTATATGATTACAATCTTTTATTTAATATTGGAATTGCACACAAGCTTAATTATGATTTAAGAATTTAATGAACCTGGACTGCTGTGTTAAAGATGCGCATTTGTAATAATGTTTATTACAATATCGGCGTCTAATCGATGCAGCTTAATGTCCGATCTGGAAATAAAAAACAGAAGCTTCAAGTTCATCAATTGATGAATGGTGGTACTAAAATAAGAATGGCCGCCGAGGTGTTGCTAAAAGTGAGACAGTACGAAATTTACTTTTGCCCCTAAAATATTGTTTCATTTTCTTTCGTCATCGTGTCCACTGTTCAACTGACCCATATAACCATGTTATTTGGAACAGAGAACGCAGTGACAAGAAAGAACAGAACAATGTTTGAAGGACAAAAAATCATGTGACTCTTTCGTTCACAACGAGGTCTTGGCGGCCATTTGCCTTCAAAGTCAATTAGCAGTTTCCATGTACGCTGGTTTTGAAATTAGTACAGACGTCATTATACGACATTCATTTTATGAAATGTGAAAACCATGGTAACATACTGACAACAGGTTAATAGTTTCTTTGTACCGACCTATCATTTATGTATTGTACGTAAAATATGTATGTTTTGATTCTACATGTAAATGAATACATCTGATTCTGATTTATCATGAACTTAATGCATTGTCCTTGTGGCACATAACTAAATATTCGTTCGACGAAATATTTGTCTAACACTTATGTGCATTGATTTGTTTGTGGTATCTACAACAATCACTGCATATGTGTAGTAATGTTTCTCATTGTTCATAAAACTAACATTGTTGTATGTGCTTAAAAAGAAACATTTTCAGTTTATGATAAATCATAATCCAATGAAAAAAAATTATGAAATAAAGTATACTACAATATTGTTGCATGATGTTTGTTGTGACAAATCAAAGTCCTGCACAGCTGCGCATGCATATCAATAACGTGGTATGTTGTAACATTAATGAGAGAAGTCTTACCAGTTGTTTGTTGAAGATCACGGCACAATTTGTAATATTTGCCACTTTCTTTGATAGTATGGAATGCTTTGTTCCACCATTCCGGTACGTCACTTCCTTTACGAGTCATAACATGCATATGGGTTTCTCCAGTAAGTGGGTGTGTTGCACACGCCAATGGATCTCCTACCTTCTCAAGCCCACCGGCCTCGTTGATTCTGTCCATTATAAACTCATTGGCGAAACCAGCATCGACCTGAAAACAAATAACAAAATCGTTCTAAGAATTCAACAAGTTGTTAACTTACTAGTATATTCAAATATTTGATAACCGTGTCCAATGGATGGGTTCACTAAGATGAAAATTTAAGAAATCTACATAGAACGAACACAAGCGTGATATCTCTAATATATAAAATGCAACATCTCTCACCTCACCAGCAACTATCATGCGACGCAGTTCCATTTTTGTGCTCGCCATCTTGATTTTATCTCTCGTCATATCGTGGAATTGGTCTGGATTGCTACTTCGCAGGC